AGTGACCATATATATATATATACTATTAATATAATTATTAATTAATACATTATTATATATTATAATAAGTATAATATAATATATAATAATATATGAATTAATAATTATATTAATAATATATATATATTATAATACTTATATAATACTTAATATACTTATATTATTAGATTAATTAAATGAACCCTTTGCACTCAAGTGGCGACTCTGACGTATCACTAAAAAAAATTGTCACACCACACTTCAAGATAAGTTTTACATGATCAAACCTTAGATATAAAAACTTGTTAAAAGTCTAACTGTTAAAATAGACTTTGTCGTATAAAATGGAGATACTGTAAGTCGGAAATGTTAATCTAGATTTACAGTTACAATGGCTTCGAGCGCAAAGGGTTAGCAAATCAATGAGATTATGCAATATTTTAAATACACTGTCGCGTTTCCAACGAAATTGTTAGAAAGCAGAGAATATAAAGACACGCGTTTTAACCGGGATTCCAAGAGTGTTTAATCGACTCTTTCGTGACCGCCACGATTTCTCTTTGTGCCCTAAATAATGCATCCTTTCAGAGCGAGAATGGATTTATACCACTTCCTACTGCGCTTCGAATTTCCCCAATTTGCACAAAAGCTCGGTGCGTTTTAATTCCACGTTGACACGCAATGTTACGCGAATGCGCCCCTGACACGACTTCTCGCATTCGATCAACCTTCGCGCCGCCACGAGAACGCGTGAAATTGTTCGAACGATGTAAAACGCTCCGTTGTTAATAGAAAATAAAAGAAAAGAAATCACGTACAATGATGCACGACCTAAATCAAATCGCCGAAACGGTGCATCGTTTCAGCAAAACGTTCCGAATTATCCAGCGAAGATGATATATATATAATTATTACTATATATTATTACTATATATAAACTAAATATTATACTAAATATAATAATAAATATTATATATATACTACTCGCGAAGAGAGAAATGTCAATATTTCGTACTTCAACTAGTAAACAAAACTGAACAATTTGGAACGGAGAGACACGATTATTCGAGCCTCGTGACTCATTTTTATAGTTTACAAGTTGAAGGAAAATTAGGAAGAATTTACTGTACATAATTTTGTTACACATGCGCCTCGTTTTTCTGATTGTTGACAATTGGCGACTAAATAAGTGAGCCGCAAGGCTCAAATAATCGTATCTCCTCCTCCCAAATAGTCTATTTTTGTTTCCAAGCCGAGCATTAATTGAGGAGAATTCACTCTAATTCGGTTCAAATACGCGAAATGTCAGAATTTCAGCGGTCAATTGGAATTAGCACTTGAACGATCGTTCATGAGATTTCTCGTGTTTCAACGCTGAGACGTAAAAGACCAGCAACAAGATTTCTCGTTTTTATCTCTTTTCCCTGAAAATTATCCGTTCTAACAGAGTAGTCGCCAAGTATTACAAAATATTCGAACGAATTCGCATGTTGTATATTATTGCATTCACATATTGCATTCGCGAAAAATCGGTATAGAAAAGAGCAATTATCATTTCTTGCTGAAATTAATATTCCATTGAATGTTGAAACGTATTTAGGATGCTTTTAAGTGTGTTCGGTGAAATATCTGCTCTCGAGATTTCTCGTGTTTCAACGCTGAGACGTAAAAAACCAGCAACAAGATTTCTCGTTTTGATCTCTTTTCCCTGAAAATTATCCGTTCTAACAGAATAGTCGCTAAGTATTACAAAATATTCGGACGAATTCACAAGTTGCATATTATTGCATTCACACGTTGCATTCGCGAAAAATCGGTATAGAAAAGACCAATTATCATTTCTTGCTGAAATTAATATTCCATTGAATATTGAAACGTATTTAGGATGCTTTTAAGTGTGGAATATCTGCTCGCGGCGCAGCGTGCACGCTTCGAAAATCGAATTACACGGCTGGAAGGTTGGTAATAAAATTACACGCGTATTTTGCCGGCGCTCGAAACAGGAAAACTACTTGCAGCATTATCTGCAAGAAAAGGTTAGTTTACGGAAACAGGATAAAAACGCGGCCGTGTATTAACGCTATGCCGTTCGCAGATCTTAGATATGATTCTTTTGTTCGACGCCGGCATAATAGCTTGGAAATTTTAGATTTAAAAAAGAAATGTCGAAGATGGCGGTAATATAAATTCCCAAAATTAAGATACGTCGTCCAAGAATTTTCGTACTTAATTCTCAGTTAAACAAGCACAATGCTATAGTTAGTTTGCTACCTTCTAAAATTTCGAAGATGGCGGTAATATAAATTGCTAAAATTAAACACCCAAGAAATATAGTTCAAATGTTATTTCAGTTTTTTTAAAAATGGCACCAAAATGGTACCACCGGCATACAACAGATAGTTTTTGCATGGCACCAGCGTGGTGCCACCGGACGGCATAGTGATAATAATCTATAAATATAATAATAAATAATAATAAATAATCTGGGCTAGTTATCGCTCAGATAATTATTAGATATAATATATATATATTATAATAATTGAGCCGTTTATTTTGAAAGTGGCATAAGTCACTTTACCGTAATGAAAAGCGGTGATTTTTTAATGTTTATACGAAATTATTTATACCGAGAAAAATATCAGTATCCTGAGATAACAAATACAAGTAAATCTTCTCGAAAGTTAGCATCCATATCTTTAAACGTGTTAAAACGCAAATCCTTAAATATATCGACGTAAAAACAAAGTGACTTATGCCACTTTCAAAATAAACGGCTCAATTAAAAAATTAACGATCCGTCATTTCGACGGGTTCCGTAAAGATCGAGCGTTAAAGATCGAGTCTACGACAACAGAATCCTAAAATGGCACCGAAGTGGTACCACCGGCGTACAACAGACAGTTTTCGCATGGCACCGGCGTGGTGCCACCGGACGGCATAGTGTTAATAAATAACACTCTGAAAAGTTGTTATATGTCCGTTTATAGGCAAGCAATTGTTGGTCGTAAATTCGTCTTCTGAACCCGCGCCGCCAAATGTCGAATGTCCCGTCGAAAAAAAAAAGAAAAAGCGAAGGAAAGTGAGGAAAGAGCTACAGTGCGCGCGGCGGGCCGCAACGATATTCTTAAAGCTTTCCAATTTGCATAGATAACCATAGAGACCCGGTACCCCAACACCGTCATGTGTTCACATATTGCGAGAGAACACGTGAGTCTATGCAAATGACAGTAGGCCGGCCATGCGACGAGGAATTCAATTTCTTCTCGAAAAAGTTTACCTTTGTTCTCGCCGTTACAACATTAAACGACCTCAGCTCGCCCACCATGTTATTTTATCACGCTTTTCGTATTTCCCTATCGATCGACGTCGCATCGTTTAAATCACGCCGAACCAACTGCACAATGATACGCCGCGAGCTTTCATACTCGATGAGTATGAAATATATATATATATATATATTATAAATAAAATATATATATTTAATAAATATAAATATAAGTATAAAATATATGTATAAATAAATATATCGTCGTCCGATAACCGTTGCGACGACGAGAAAAGAAAACGAACTTGGCACTTACGCCTAGCCGATTTCAATTTTTAGTTAATTTACGGGCTATAAACAAATTTAGCACCGTGCACAAAATCATCTCGAATCGTGCTATGGTAATTTTTAACGGCGCTTCGGAGTCGCTGATCGAGTTCGAAGGGTAGCCTAGCCGATTTCAATTTTTAGTTAATTTACGGGCTATAAACAAATTTAGCACTGTGCACAAAATCATCTCGAATCGTGCTATGATAATTATTAACGGCGCTTCGCAGTCGCTGGTCGAGTTCGAAGGGTTCGTAAAGACGTTTAACGCGACGGCGTAAGGGGACGATTCCGTTGCACGGATTATTTCGCACTGTTAATTAGATCGAAGTACCTTTGTATTTGTTGTTGCACGCTCCGTTCTGCGGTGCGGAATAGTCGCCGCACAGACAACGCGTCCTGCCATCCCTCGGATCCGCCATGCACGTCGTATTCTGTATGCCGGCGCAATCGGACTCTAACTTGCATTCGCGAGCCTTTCCAACTGCAATCAGAGATTTTCTCATTGTTGACGTGTCATTGTTAACGAGATTTTTATGTTACGCCTGCTCCTTAAAGTAAAGGACAAGCTGAAAATTCGTATAATATAACCTTGAATTCGCGAGCCTTTCCAACTGCAATCAGAAATTTTCTCATTGTTAATGAGATTTTTATATTACGCCTGCTCCTTCAAGTAAAGAACAAGCTGAA